ACAGAAAATAAAAAAACAGGCCGAGTGCAGTGGCTCATGCCTGTAATCCCAGCACTTTGGGAGGCCAAGGTGGATCATGAGGTCAGGAGTTTGAGACCAGCCTGGCCAACATGGTGAAACCCCGTCTTTAATAAAAATTAACCAGGCATGGTGGTGTGTGCTTGTAATCCCAGCTACTCAGGAGGCTGAGGCAGGAGAATTGCTTGAACCTGGGAGGTGGAGGTTGCAGTGAGCCGAGTTCACGCCACAGCACTCCAGCCTGGAAAACAGAGCAAGAATCCATCTCGGACAAAAAAAAAATTAGCCTGGCATGTTGCTGTGTGCCTATTGTTCGAGCTACTTGGGAGACTGAGGTAGGAGGGTTACTTCATCCTGGGAGGTCAAGGCTGCATTGAGCTGTGACAGTGCCACTGGACTCCATTCTAGGCTGGGTTACAGAGCAAGACCCTGTCTCAAAAAAAAAGAAAAGAAAAGAAAAGAAATTTGTACCTCAAAGTCAAATTGCTGGAACATGGAAGTGTATGTTTTAATTTACAAGATACCCAACTTGTTCTGGGAAGTGACTATCAGTTTATGCTCGTACTAACGATGATAGTGTCTGAGAATGCCTTTTCCTTCCTCTCTTGATATTCTTCAACTTAGGTTTTGTTTGTTTGTTTGTTTTTATTTCTTTAGAGACCGAGTCTCGCTCTTGTGCCCAGGCTGGAGTGCAGTGGCGCGATCTTGGCTCACTGCAACCTCTGCCTCCTAAGTTCAAGTGATCCTCCTGCCTCAGCCCCTTGAGTAGCTGGGACTACAGGCACACACTGCCACACCTGGCTAATTTTTTTTTTTTTTTTGCATTTTTGTAGAGATGGGGTTTCACCATGTTGCCCAGGCTGGTCTCGAACTTCTGAGCCCAGGGAATCTGCCTGCCTCAGCCTCCCAAAGTGCTAGAATTGCAGATGTGAGTCACCACGCCTGGCCTTAAGTTTTTGATATTGTCCTTAATATTGTCTAACTGAAATTTCTGCTGATATGAGGAAGGGAAATGCTCTTTTGGCTTTAATTTACTAGTGATATTATTGATCATCTTTCCAAGAATGCATTGTCTATGAAGTTTTTGTTTTCTGTGCTCATATATTTTTTTGAGACAGGTTCTCACTCTGTTGTGCAGGCTGGAGTGCAGTGGCATGACCTTGGCTCACTGCAGCCTCTGCCTCCTGAGCTCAAGCAATCTTCCCACCTCAGTGTAATGCACCACTGCACCTGCTTAATTTTTTTGTTTATTTTTCTTGTAGAGACAAGGTCTTACTGTGTTGTCCAGGCTGGTCTAGAACTCCTGGGCTGAAGCGATCCTCCCATCTCGGCTTCCCAAACTATTGGGATTACTGGCATACTTCCGTTTTTGGAGAATTAGGTTGTCTTTTTCTTGTTGATTTATAGTAGAACTAAATTCTATGCATTATTCATGTTTCTATGCTACATGTTTTAGTTGTTTTTTCTCAGATTGTCCCTGGCCTTTTGACTTTGTGGTATTTTCTCCCACTCACATGTTTTTAAGGTTAATGTCAAATTCATTCCCTTCAACCAGATGTGGTCAGGATTGCAGTGAGGAGGTCATGCTCTCCTTCACTGTGTTCTCTGTATCTTACAAGTTTTTAATGCTCCAAGTGTTTCTGTTGATATTCTCTCTTGATATTTTCCACAATGATAGAGAATTTTACAAGTCAACCCTGGTCGAGTTCTTTCACAGAGATTTCGATGGAAGAAAGGTATAAAAATGCAAGGGCTGAGGTCATATTACTGGTTTTGGAATGTTCTTTTTTGTTCATAATTTTCTTTTATATTATTGATTATTTTTGTCCAAGTTTCTTTAAAATAATTTTCTTTAAATTTGGAAATAAAATCTTTATGGAATTCTGGTTGAAACTGACCTGATATAAATTAACCTGTGGTAAAAAGGTATGCATATATATTTTTTGTTTTGGTGCAATTATATATTACATTGGTTCATTTAAATCTTACTGAAAAGAATTTCGTAACGTTTTGTAGGACTTTTCTCGTATTCTTGCGAATCATGCTTCCCTCTCCCTTCAATTATTTACACAGCAGTTGTAATCTTTTTTTTTTTTTTTTTTTTTTTTTTTTTTTTTTTTTTTTTTTTTTTTTT